GATAGTTACTGGCACAAGTAGATGGTAAAGGAGAAGGAGGAAGACAACTCCTTCGAAGAAGAGTCCCATTCCATAAAAAAGTCGGGCTACTGCATGGGCATTTCTGGTGCTTTTTCTCATGTTTGTATCCTGGGAAGTGGTTCGATTGCTAGCTCGGTGGCTGGTGTTTTCACAAAATAACAATCCAGAGATATTTGTCTTTTTCTTTGTTGGATAATTTTCCGAAAATGGGACATTAGCTTGTCATTTAAAATGTCCACAGGTCGGCTGGTCACAATTTCGTTAGGGTGATGTTTCTCAAGGAAAACCTGCACTTCACTCCACTTGATAAAAATTTCTTTGATCTCAGCACTTGAAACATGTGCCACCTCTTCCTCCTCCTCTTTTGAGGGCTCCTTCTGCATGACTTTCATCTGTTCACATTGCAAATCAACAAGTTCTTCTGTGTTGAGCTCTTGTCTGTGGTCCTCCACCAGATCCACCACAGCCTTCTCGTTGACCTGCAAGTTCAGACTCGTGCCAATGGTCACAATCTCGTTTACAAGAGTTACAACTGTCTCCCCAGAATCGCTATGAATAACACAACCTGGCCAAAGTTTCCTCCAGGCAGATTGCAACGTGCGGTTAAAGAATTGTTCCATGCCTTGTCAATGAGGTGTATGCAGTGGAGGACATGGAAGTGATCTTTCCAAAAATCACGCAGGGTCAAATTCGTGTCGTTGATCACCTGGAAACACTTGGAAAAAAGAACTTTTGCAAATAACTTCTTGAAAATTACTTGCTGATCCATGGCCTGGATGAGAGGAATGGTGTTAGGAGCAGAAATCTGACTTTTATGAAGTCTTATTCAACATCAAGGTCTTTCTCCATTCTTTGAGGAGGGGCAGGAGCGTTATCGATAACCATCAGGCACTTAAGGGGCAAATTATTTTCCTCAAGGTATTTCTTGACAGTTGGCATTAAAACTTCAGTCATCCACTCCATAAAAAGTAGTCTTGTTACCCAAGCTTTGCCATTCGCTCTCCAAAACGCCGGAAGTTTATCCTTTAGCACATCATTGCGTTTAAGAGGGCGCGGATTTTCAGAACGGTAAACTAAAAGAGGTTTAATCATATAATCCCCACTTGCATTAGCGCACAATAAAAGTGTAAGCCTGTGCCTATTCTTCATTGGTTTGTGGCCAAGCAGTGAGTTTTCCTCTTGTTATATAAGTCCTTCTTGGCATTTTTTTCCAAAACAGTTCCGTTTTATTGCAGTTAAAAACTCGATGCGGTGCGTAACGTTCATAGTTGAAAAATTTTGCAAATTCCTCCACATAGACATCTGCTGCTTTTTTGTCCGAACTAGATGCCTCTCCATGCCTAACAACACTATGAATTCCAGTTCACCGACGAAATTTCTCGAACCAGCCTCTATTTGCTTTAAATTCGACAACGCTAGCATCACTTGTATTCGGCGTTTTGGCCATTAAATCGCCGTGCAAAAGTAGAGCCTTCTGGCACATTAGGGCCTCGCTAACACTATCTTCAGGAAGCTGCTTTTCATTAATCCAAACTAACAATAATTTTCTACTTCTTCTAACACATGAGATTTTTTCGTCGATAACATAGTCACTCCTTTAGCCACATGTACCGTTCTTAGTGCATCTTTTTTCTTGGACGACTAACCAACACCGATTTAAAACCACAAAAATCAAGCGTCTACCGCACGGGATATCTTTACCCTGGCCAGAGATTCCAGTCGATTTGATTTGATTTATCAGTTTCTTCAAATTTAAAGTTGACATCGATTCGGCATATTACAGAGAGATGTGGAAAATCTCATAATGCCATGGAATACTTGAGCCAGTAGGAAAGTTTGTAAACGTTAGAATGTGTGTCTTCCTTATACTGATATGAAGGGCCAATTCCAGTACCTTGAAACTAATGGTGAAAATAATGATCCCGATTTTCGTATCACTAGCATGGAGTTACCTATTTTTGGAGTCAGAATTAATAACAGCTATGTGACAAGCACGGTCTGTACCATCCTGTTCCTTACCATTCGTTTACCAGACTCGTTTAACCTCGGTTGGAATAAAAGCGAGAGATTCTGAACGCAGCTTGAATCTATGATTATTCGGCTTGAAACCAGACGCTCTACGGACTGAATAGCCCCGTCTGCATCAAATTTTGGTAAAATCTTTGCTCAGACGAATTCGTCATAAAGATAAAGATTACCCGAAGTTGAAATCGAATTAGGTATTTGCACAATTTGAGTTCGAAGCCATCAACACCTAAGTGATTATCGTTTCTATAGTATAGATGGTACAGTGGTACAGATTAGCTTAAAACTCCGAAGGCATTTGGTTAAAATGCTGTAAAAACGACAATTTTTTCTTAATTACGAATTTTTTAAAGAAATTTACTTCGCGTTGCTAGAGTGAAACCGCCTAAGACAGGGCCAGGAAGTCACTGACTTGCGAACAACAAGGACAGCTTAGTAGTGTCATTCCATAATGCGCGAGGAGTGCGAAGACGCAGTTCGATGCCGGCGCCCTTCGTGACTGGTTAAGAAATGCGATAATCAGTACGAAGTCCAGTTTAACAGAAGATAGGTGCGCAGGAGTCATGTCTGCTATAAAAGTCTGATATATATATTCTTTATTTGCGGTAAAAATAATCAGACGATATCCCTTCACTTTTACCATTCAATAATGTTCTCAAGTTTCGATTCCAAAAAACTGCTGCCCTGCAAAAACGAAGGTTGCATTCTAGATTGAAGACATTGTTCAAATACTCCACTATATAACTTGCTGACCTACAGTATGCAAGTGATATTGTTCAGAATTTTTGTGATCTTCCTAGCTTCGTGAATATATGATCGAATACCTGTCCATGCTTTTCCAACGTCAAGGGCTGATGGCCTGAAAACGATGCTCAGCAGAATAACGCATTAAGTCACTGTGATGCCTACAATTCCGAGATACGCATCGTCCTGCTTGAAACATTGCTTTTCTTTGGAACGGCAGCACATAGCTTTCAAGCCATAGATTATTAAATGATAGTTCGTATTCGCTGCCATCCGGGCAGCGTGTTCGGGAAGCAGACAAGAACTTACATTGACGCCATCCTTTGTCCGAGTCATGAGGTAATCGAAATCCATAAATTTCCCGTTGTTTTAGATCCAGGTTCAGCGATGATGTTTAAATACAAGTCAATATAAACGGATTGGGAGGTTTTCAGCAGGGCAAACAACGGTATTTGCGCTTAACGGAAGGCTCGGAATTGATGCAGGAACCGACATCGATAGATTGAGACGATGCTGTTTCAAGCCGCCCATCAAAGATATCTGCCAGTAAGCAAAACCTGAAAATCCGTAATTTGGTTCCATTATTAAACGGGGAAGAATTCATAAATGAGACTTCGGAACAGTACCAACAATTCGATAAAACACAGGATGCGGTCAGATCCGATGGAAAGATTACTTGTCCAACAATGGAGACGGCGAAAAGAGGTTGAAAAAGCGTCGACTTTAGCTCGTGGCACTCCCACACAGGGGACAAGTCAATAAATGAATAGTTGAAATAACAGTTCAGTTGCCATTTGTCAATCTAGGTTCACGTAGGCCAACAACAGCCCGATGCCGAGCATGAATCAAGTACTTAAAATATTCCTAACCAGTAGTTTTAAGAACAACTCTTTCACTCGACAGCATCAGTCTTGTAATATTCAAGAAAACCATTTCTTAATCAGGATTAAGATTATTTAGAAGCGCTTCTGTAGCACTTCTCATGCTTGCTAGGTTAGGTCGAGCGCTTTGTTCACTGTATGGTCTTTTGAAACGTGATGGCGAAGTGCGAAGAGGTAAGCTTCGAACTCGAACTCTTGAGGTTATAGGTTCTATTCGAGCAACGGACAATCAGTGAATTCCTTTGATCGAAGAACTTATCTTAAATTGCTTCAGA